ATGAGCAGTGCCTGGTTTCCTTCAAACATGATGCTTGGAATTGAGGTCCATCAGACCAGAGACTCTTGTTTCTCAGAGTCTGAGAGTCCTTTAGGTGTTTTTATGTAAAATCCAAGTGTGTTTTCATGTGTCTTCACTGAGGAGAGGATTGAGTTTGGCCACTCTGACATAAAGCACAGATCGGTGGAGTGTTGCAGTGATATTTGTCCTTCTGTAGGTTTCTCCCATCTGCATATATGATCATGGAGCTCAACTAGAGTGACCATCAGCTTCTTGGTCACCAGTCTAACCAAAGCCCTTCTCCATCAGTTGCTCAGTTTGGCCAGGAGGCCAGCTCTAGGAAGAGTCCTGGTTGTTTCAAACTTCTTCCATTAAGGGTAACAGAGACTACATGCTTCTGTGACCCTTCAATGAAGCAGATTTTATTTCTGAACTCTTCCCCAGATGTGTGGCTTGACACAAATCTGTTTCTGAGCTCTACAGGCAGTTCTTTTGACATCAGGGCTTGGTTTTTGCTCTGATATGCATTATCAGCTGGTAGACCTTTTATTAAGATGTGTGTGCCTTTCCAAATCATATACCCATTCAATTGAATTTGCCACAGGTTAACGTCACTCAAAGTGTAGTAACATCTACAAGCAATTTGAATGCTCCTGAGCTAAATTTCAACTGTCCCAGATAAGGGTATGAATACTTATGCAATGGAATCATTCAAGTTTTTTATTTTTAATAAATTTGCAAAGATGTTAAAAACGTGTTTTTTGCTTTACCATTGTGGTTTATGGAGTGTAGGTTGATGTGGGAAAAAAGTAATTTAAAGCAGTTTAGCATAAGGCAGCAACTTAACAAAATGTGGAAAAAACATAATTTCTACACATAAGTCCTAATATTAGCTTACACAATTACAATTTTTAAAGCACATATATTTTGCACATTAATTATGTATAATTTTTTCTTGTTTATAATTTGTGACCCTGGACCACAAAACCAGTCATAAGGGACTGAAGATTTCCATTGATATATGGTTTGTTAAGATAGGACAAAATTTGGCCGAGATACAAGTATTTGAAAATCTGGAATCTGAGGGTGCAAAATTTTTTTTAAAATTATTGAGAAAATCGCCTTTAAAGTTGTCCAAATGAAGTTCTTAGCAATGCATATTACTAATCAAAAATTAAGTTTTAATATATTTACATTTGGAAATTTACAAAATATTTTCATGGAACATGATCTTTACTTAATATCCTAATGATTTTTGGCATAAAAGAAAAATCGATAATTTTCTAAGGTTTTTTTGGTTATTGCTACAAATATACCCCAGCGACTTAAGACTGGTTTTGTGGTCCAGGGTCACATTTTAAATGCGAATCAGTTAGGAAAACTGTTATTGTTTGTTTAATGTCACCTTTTCCATACAAAAGTGAAGTGATCATAGAGAGAAAGAGAGAGAGAGAGAGAGAGAGAGAGAGAGAGAGAATCCATGAAAATATGAGACTTTAAACTTTCAGAGTGTCTGCTAGTCAACCCGAAAATTTCAAGTTTTATGTAGCAGTTGCAAATATCTGTCTTTCATGAACGACTAGATGCATGGATTATTTCTTTTTGAACTGTTGGAACTGCTGCAATGGTTTTGATATTTACATACTTTTGAATGTGTTCACATAGCTGTTGATAGTTTATTGAAGTGAAAGCAAGAATAACAATAAAACTGAAATTAGGCTTCACTTTCAAATTTCAAGCACTGATGTTGGTTTTGTTAACTCATTTTACTAAAAGGAACTTGACTGCATCTTGCAATACTTTCAAAACCCTTGTGAGATTGTTTCATTAATTCAATAAAAAAAGAATCACGCACCAGGTCTTGAATGTTTCTGCATCACGTTCATGCAGAGATTCCCTGCAGCAACATGTGGTGTTTAATTCACTTGCAGGAATCAAGCAGAATTACATAGAGCAGAATTTTACATCTGAAAACAGATTTACCAGGGTTACAGCTTTTCTCTTGTGTCATTGACATTATTTCTTAATGTCCTTTCAGCCTCTGTCTTCAGCCTTCATGCTTCACGTCTAGCATGTGCAGTAGTATCCTGAGATGGAATCGTTCCAGTCTCCAAACAGGCCTTTCTGCACCTCCTTAAGTTGGTACACGATGCCAGCAGAAAACTTCTTCTTATATCCTTGCTTCTTGGATTTAGACCACACTGTCAGGGAGCAGCCTCGGCCCACCACAAGAGAAGAAATACGGTTATTCCAAGCCCATGACATGATGGGGGTGTCTTCATCGGGATAAACGTACAGGAAATTGCCAGTACAGCTTTCATCGTAGTAGTAGCTGCTATGCTCAAACATCTGGGCGCAGAGCTTGCTTCCATAATCATCTTTCAGCGTGGCTGGGTCGGGACACTCTGCATTGAGTCCCTCGAAGCACAGAGCTGCCAGGAGAAGAGCGATGACCCCCTTCATGTTTTCAGCGTGTTGAGTGAAAAGAGATCTTTTGCCCTGACCTATATAGATGGAGTTTCTCCATACGAATGACGTGTGTGAGAAACTTCAGATTGTCCAACAGAATCTGTGAAGGTCATCATGCAGATTTTACACAAAGTTCTTTCACACACAGGTAAAAAAAATGCAATTCTGCAAAAAAAATGCAAAATGTGTATTCACATGTATTCATGTAAATATATTAAATCTATATTAGCACAAATATTTTTGCTCATATTTAACAAATTTATCTGAAAAGATGTGGGTTATATAAAATGGGTTATCAGTCATTCAATTGGACATAACATACAAATTATAACAATTTTTAGACTTTCTATATGTTGTTTATTGTCTTTTTATTCAGTTTTAGTGAACTGAGAATGTAATTTTAACAAAAACAAACAAACATCACAGATGTTCACAAACCACAAGGCTATGTCTGAATGTGCGGACACTTATGTAACAACATGTGGAAACCAGCCATATGCTGTGACTTTCTGTCAATAACATAATTTAGAACAGTAGAAATCTGCATGTTATTGAATATTTGGGATTTTTTTAAGTTTTGAAAATGCCTATATCTGCAACAGTTAAAACGAAGCATTTCATTCATAACAAGATCGTGACATTTGACTGTGCATAAATTATCACTATGTAATGTGAGCTCCTGTAAATAAAATGTTTAATAATGAGATCTAACACTATATCATAATCGTGGCTGAAAAAAAAATATTTAAAAAATCTAATGTGTTAGCATGATTTTAAAAGGTTAAGTTCAAATCTGGATGCATTGCACAGTCAAAATTAAAATGATTGTGTAGGTTATTACTCTATAAAATGACATTAATTTGTCACATACATTATTAATCATATTGCCACATGGATGTTAATGTGATTAGTTTAGTTGATTATATGTCACTAATGTTGCATTCAAAAGAATCAAGAAAGAGAAAATAAGCAAACTAGTTTCTGAATTTTTATGCATAATGTGCTTACAGAGGTAAAATAATGCTTGTATACTGACTACACTGATCTGAAAACTGTTCTCTTTACTTAATAAGACATAATGTCTTTTGAATTGTTCCAATCTGCAAACAAGTTTTCTTCATTTGGTGGTAAGCAATGCCAAAGGAAAACTTCTCTGAACCCTCCACACCCACAGAGAACAGAACAGCAAGCAGATAAGCATCATGTTGAGTGAACCTGGCACAGAGCTAAAACAAACTTACTGAGAAGCCTCTGGTTTACCGACAGATGCTCTGAAGGTTGAGAATTCAAACAGCTTTGGCCTTAAGATAGCTAATTTACTGTAATGTAATCTAACTTAATATTGTTTCAGATCAAACAGGCTCTTGTCTGTCATTATAGCGCTGTTTTACTGTAAACTGTTCAATCATTTTCATTCAAATTACTACTATTATTGTAACTGACACCTGACACCATATTTCACACAATTTTATATTCAGTGATGAAAAACTATAGACCACTTGATGCATTGTGTTCATTCTGTAACATTTTGGTATAAACTAGTCTACAGAAAATTATTCAATAAAACATTGTTAGCGTTCTTGACCTATTTCATCAAGAATGATAAGCAATTTTGTTAAATTATTCTTACATTAATATTAATATTATTTTCGTATTTTTGTTTAATAATGTTTTTTTAAAAATAGTTTTATGAATAAAAAGGTCATTTGCACAGCATGTCAGGCACAGTCAGGCAGTGTGATTTGGTTTGGGGAGTACTGATCTCCACAGCTTCACAGCTTTTATTTGTGCATATAGGCACAGATCTTGTTGCGATCGGTATCTACAGCAGAATCTACTTGTTTTTGGGTCGGCCATTGTGTATTCAGAGCAGCTATAAAGCCATTATCATCTTCATGTTTTCAGTCTCTTTAGGGATCATTGTCCTACATTTGAATGCAGACAATCTGATCCATTTTTCAGTGTGAGAAACTTTAGACTGGCCAACAGATGCTCTGAAGGTTACTTTCAACAAACCTAAAAGCAAGTCAGTATTTTCATTCATTCATTCAGTCATTCATTCATTCATTCATTCACAAATGCATAGATAGATAGATAGATAGATAGATAGATAGATAGATAGATAGATAGATAGATAAGGCTTTTTGCACATAATCTATTCAGTTAATTCTGTAATTCTGTAACATTTTGATAGATAGATAGATAGATAGATAGATAGATAGATAGATAGATAGATAGATAGATATAGTGTGTATCTTTTGCAATAGGCTTTTTGCACATAATCTATTCAGTCATTGTGTTAATTCTGTAACATTTTGGTGTAAAATAGCCTGCAGAAATGTTTTAATCTAAAATATTGTTAGTGTTCCTTTAACCTATTTTCTTAATAAGGAATATAAACTATCATTTTATTAGTTAATTTTATTATTCGTTTTTTCTTTTTCCATTCCAGTTTGTTACGTACCAGTGTTATTTCTTTCTTTCTGTCTTTATTTGAATTTAAAAAATCACGGGCTCCCGTTGCCGGAAGTGGCGTCATTTCAGATCTGTTTAGTTCCTGTCTTGGCGGGAATACGCGCTGCTCACGGGCGAGTAGGCAACTGAGGCAACATGGATGTTGAAATGAAAGAGGCAGACAGTGAACTAAGTCAAGCCGACGGACCGCCTAAAAAGGATGATACTGCACCAAAACCCTCAACGAATGCTTATGAACTACCATGGTACTGTTTGTGGCTGTTTGTAAGCGCGCTATCGTGGTTTTTGAATCACTTTAATGTCGCTAAAGATAGCGAGCCTGTAGCTATGTTTACAGCAATTGAACGGCCAAGCTCGCGTTCCTCTGCAGCTGCATATTTGCTCTGATGAATAATTGTGTCATTATTACTGACAGGGTTGAAAAATACAGACCTCTGAAGCTGAAGGAAATAGTTGGAAATGAGGAAACTGTCAGCAGACTGGAGGTCGGTATGACATAAAGTACAGTACAGTAAAGTACAGTACATACTGATTTGTCTGATGTGGTTAGTATGACACGAGGCAACATGGATGTTGAAATGAAAGAGGCAGACAGTGAACTAAGTCAAGCCGACGGACCGCCTAAAAAGGATGATACTGCACCAAAACCCTCAACGAATGCTTATGAACTACCATGGTACTGTTTGTGGCTGTTTGTAAGCGCGCTATCGTGGTTTTTGAATCACTTTAATGTCGCTAAAGATAGCGAGCCTGTAGCTATGTTTACAGCAATTGAACGGCCAAGCTCGCGTTCCTCTGCAGCTGCATATTTGCTCTGATGAATAATTGTGTCATTATTACTGACAGGGTTGAAAAATACAGACCTCTGAAGCTGAAGGAAATAGTTGGAAATGAGGAAACTGTCAGCAGACTGGAGGTCGGTATGACGTAAAGTACAGTACAGTAAAGTACAGTACATACTGATTTGTCTGATGTGGTTAGTATGACATGTTTGCTCTTTTGCTCTGTTATTGTCGAAGGTGTTTGCACGAGAAGGAAATGTGCCCAACATCATCATTGCTGTAAGTTAAAATATGGTTTCACAATCAGGTGCCATCTGAATTTACTAATGATATGTCACTATGCACTAAAATGAAGATAACGTTTGTTTTTAGGGTCCTCCTGGCACTGGAAAAACGACCAGCATTTTGTGTTTGGCTCGAGCTCTTCTTGGTCCAGCTATGAAAGATGCTGTGCTTGAGTTGAATGCCTCAAATGACCGGTAAGAAACTTAAGCTGAGTGTTTTCAAACACGTTTTCTGTTTATCCAATATTTTGGATGATCATATTCTTATTTTAATGTCTGTTAATTAATGTTTAATTGTCTATTATCAATTTTAGAGGAATTGATGTTGTGAGAAACAAAATCAAAATGTTTGCCCAGCAAAAGGTCACACTCCCTAAAGGTCGCCACAAGATCATAATCTTGGATGAGGCTGACAGGTAAGAGTAATCATTTTCTTTAAAATATTTGTAATTAAAATATTTAGGTTTCATTCAGTTCAATAAATAGTTATTTAAAAATAAATTTAGAAATGTATACATTTGAAAGATTTAAAACATGCTTAATGCATTCATGTTTTTGTATTTCTAAAACAGCATGACAGATGGAGCCCAGCAGGCTCTCAGAAGAACCATGGAGATCTACTCCAAAACCACACGCTTTGCTCTGGCATGTAATGCATCAGATAAGATCATAGGTGAGCGACATGGCACATAAAACTAGGGTGACCATATATTAGTTTTCCAAAAAGAGGACAGTGGATGTGGGTGGGCAGGATGGCTGTGGTGTAGTTGGTTGGTGGTTAAAGTAATGCCTGGCCCCAGAGTAGTGCCCAACGTAGTGCAATGGCCATCCCAAATATTAAAACTCAAAATGAGTCATTTCCATACCTAAAATACATATTTTACAGTCACTGTTATGCATATTGATCATAAACACAGCTAAAAAGCTTCCTACCAGTGGCCGTCCTTCATTATTATTATTATTAAAGGGGTCCTGTTATGCTCTTTTGCAAAGTCTTGATTTTGTTTTGGGGGTGTACTAGAACAGGCTCTCATACTAGGTTGTTCGAAAAACACATAATTTTTCATATATTTTACATTATTACAACACCTCTCTCCCCAGTCTGGCATGAACGGCTCGAATAGTTCCTGTATCAAATGAAGGCCCTCCTTCTGAAATACGAAATGTGCTGTGATTGGTTCGCTGGGCCAGTGTGTGTTGTGATTGGCAGCACTGGTCGGGAAATGACATGCCCCTTACCATAGCCGCCTGCGAGCTTCAGTGTAAATATTGCGTCAAAATCAAATCAATTTGAGCACGATTTAAACCCGAATGATTGTAACTACTCTAAGTTCGTCTGCCTTGGGAAAACTAGCGTATCTCCGACATAGTGATAACACTCATTGCCTTCTCTAGTGCAGCTCAACCAGGTCTCGTCCCATTCGTCGATATTTGTGATATCACAAATCCCGGAAAATATGCGTTGTAGTCCAAACGAGTCGTTCGTTGTAGTTTTTGAAAAGTGATTTTTGTTCAATAAAATATCTCCTTTTGAATTGGACTTTGAGCTTTGTAACTTTGCAGATCTTTTTTTATGCTCAAACAGCAACATTACAGACTAAGTAAAACCCTACATCCAACTCGAGCTGCAGGAGTCAGATTTCACTGATCACGGGTTGAGAGGAGAGATGGCTGACAGACCATGCTTTGCTGCTCAACAGATTCTGAGCTCATTGACAAATATCTGATCTTCCTTTACACAGAGCGTGCGTGATCGCGAAATCGAAAGTGAACAGTAGGGTTGGGAATCGAAAATCGATTCCGATTCTAGAATCAGATACTTAAGGTCAGGAATCAGATACTTGTTGTTAAATTAAAAATTCGATTCCGCCTATCGATTCCTATGCGCTTTTTTGTTCTTCATCTGTGAGGACCAGACCTAGCGATCTGCCAGGACCTTGCTCGCTAATCTAAGCGCTCCAAAGTTTGGCTACATTTGCGATCAGAAGCCAAAGAAGCGAAGTATAATATCTGAGATCGCTAGAGATCAGGGCCGGAGTGGGACTCATTTTCAGCCCTGGAGTTTCATGCCGGCCCTTTTTGTTTTTTTTTACTGGCCTTTTCAGTGCCGCCTTTGCGCTTTCTATTAGGGGTGTGCGATATATATCGTCTGCGATAATATCGTAATTGCTGTTTTAACGATGTGCGATTTGACATTATCGAGTATTTAGCAAAAACCTTTCAAAACATCCCTACAGGGCACACGCATACATTACGTGAAGTCTAGACTAGTGCGTGTGCGCATTTAGTGTTTTCTTTCACTGCATGATTCAGGCTATTAAAATGCATTTAGAATGATCACAAATTCAAGACATGATGGCAGAAAATGTATATATTTATACCACTTCATATAGTTATTCAATTTCACACAAAGAGTGCCGTTTTTCTCCAAAAATTACCATGATTACAAATGTGACATTGAATTCAATAAACAATAAGTTAATTAAGAGACTTATGTTTTAGACACCATATTGCTTGTTTTTTTTCACCAACAAAAATCATTCCGAATACAGCCACAGCGCTGTTCTGCATCTCTGAGCAACATGACGGTGTTTCGTTCTTGAATGAATCAACCGTTTAAATGATGCGGTTCAATCGCAATGACTCACTTATTAACAGTTATTTGCTGCCACCTGCTGGCGGTTTTAATTTCAAATTTCGGCTTTTTCTTTCTTTTCTTTTTGATTTTTTTTATGTTTTAAGTCATTTCAGATATCAGTATTCAACGTTTGTTTAATATATCAAAACATTATTTATGCATTTGTAATTGCAGGTTAAATGCGTTCATGTCTTGCATTAAACAAAATACATGTGTGTAAATACATCTAAATGCCACTTCAGATGCAGCTTCTGTGTTGATTTAATTTGCTTGGTAACAGCCCAAATGTCTTATTATTCTAATTCCCTGATTAAATGTAAGAATTTGACTCAAAAGATAATGGACACTTTTAGAAAAATTGGCTTTATAAAGGTAAAAATGCCCATAAAATGCAAAAATCAGTCTGAACTTAATGGAAAAGATTAATTTCTATCAGTATGAACTGACCACCACACAGAATATGAAGAATATTAAAAACATTAGGAGTCAGCTGTCTTCGGCAGTCCTTAAGGTACCAGCACAATAACACACTCAGCAAAATATCGTCTAATTATCGTTATCGATAAAATCACATAAAATATCGAGATATTATTTTTTGTCAATATCGCACACCCCTTCTTTCTATTATGCATTTTTATCTATTATTTTTTGCTCGCATATCTCCAACAATTACTTTTTTTTTTTAGCAAGGTTCCGCTGTCAGGGGAGTCAAAAGATAATTACGTCATCATTGCCAATAGAGAATGGGAATCCACGTTGGATTCCACCATTTTTTAAGGTCACGCTCAGGAGCACACAGTGTAAACACATGCAAATCACCACAGAAAAAGCAGACCGTTTACTATTAATATTTTTTTTGAAAACCATCTAACATACTCTTAGAATATAACGGACTAATATGTAAATCTCTTTAAATATAAAAAAATCTCTCTGTGGTTTGTCTGAGAGGCTGCAAATATTAATTATTCAGTCTCCTTCACCACAGTGGCACAGGTTTAGGCTAACTGCTAAAACACTTTGGTTAGAGTAGCAAACCCATGGCTATTTTTTAAAGGGGAGAATACATAGCTAGATCTCAAACAGTGGATCATTTATCATTGTTATATATCGTCATATTACCCAGTAAAACTGCTCAGTGTAAAGAATTAAGCTATTATAGATGTAACAGAACTTACTAGAAGCTGCTTTGAAACGATGTGTATTGTGGATGCTCTATAAATACCTTGACTTGAATGAACCAAGTTGCAGATTCTTACTATTACAGATGCCGAACAACGATGCAAGCGATCAAATAAATGAATGAATTAAACTTAATCCGTACAAACAAGTGGCTGGGTATCAACGAGCTGCCGCAAGATAACGTTTCCATATATGATTTTCTTTTATTTGTGGTGTGAGGGCTTATGTTTAATGCAAACCACTGTATATATAAATCTACAGAGATCAATTGTTAAGACACATCTTTTTTGAGTTGTTTAACATACCGAGTTTTCAGTTTAACTTTTATCCGAGTTCCGTAGTGAATGTAAGTTAGACATTTTATATTATTTTATGTTTACATGATTCACCTTAAGATCGCGTTGGAATGATTAACGCTTTCTGTATCAACATAGCGTTAATCAAAAGCAGAGGTATTTAATGCAGACATTGATAAAGGCTGTGGAATAGCCCTTATGTCTGCAGGAATTGCCTCCGCTTTTTCAGCTTTTGAACGCTGAAAAAAGCAAGTTTTTCACACCGGCCGTGCAAAGGGCTATGGCAAATGATGTAAAGTGAGCCATAACCACTCCAACGCGATCTTAAGTAGATATAAACATTAAATAATATCAAACGCCTACATTCACTATATTGTCCAGTCTCCGCTGTAGCTCCTGTGACCTAATGCATTGCTGCTGTGACGACACATTCGCATAAGAAATGGAAAATAAGTGACAATTGTGATTCTTTATCTTATTCTTTAAGAAAATTGTGTTTATTCTTGTAGAAAATAAGTCTTTATTTTTTAAGAAAATAAGGGACGTTCCAAAAAAAAAAAAAGTTCTCAGAAATAATCACAATTGTTTTGCTTAACCTATTTATGTACAATTATTCTAAAAATAATTTTAAATGTCATACAAAAAATGCCATCGGCCTGAGTAAATTGTACCATTATAGAATTGTGACTGTAATTGAGGAGGTGAAAATACTGTAAAATTACAAATGGCATGAAATTTGAAAATCTAACAACTGAAGGTCTATGAAACGTCAGTCAATCAAGCATTTTTTTTTAAACAATGGCACTTAAAGTTTTGATCTAAAATATTATTGCAACTATATCCTTTGAATGAATGAAAATGCATATTTTTCAATTAAAGAAAACTTAAGAGAGTGTGGGCCCTTCTGGTGCTTGGATTTTTACTTCAATTAAGTAAAAGTTAAGAGTCAACCACGCCTACCTAAAACGGCTCGTTCTAACACGCCCCCACATGTCTACGTCACGATGTGGGAAGATTTGATCCGGCGATCCACAGCGCAAAGTTGATGTATTCCCTCAGCGACCAGCACGGATCAGCTCTAGGCATGACAAAGCGGATATCCTCCTCTTTTGGAAGACCAAACAAAGTAGTTTCGCCTTCACAACGAAACACACGGCACCTTCACGGCATGGCGGCGACGGTAGCAACAATACTACAGCGAGAATAAAAGTTATGCCTTCTTTCTTTGCGTGAACATTTGGGCGGCGTTATGCAAATCTTCCCACATCGTGATGTAGGTATGTGGGGGCGTGTTAGAACGAGCCGTTTTAGGTAGGCGTGGTTGACTCTTAACTTTTATAAAGAATATCTCTTTGGATTTGGGACTTTAGTCTTTGCAACTTTACAGATCTTCTTTATGCACCAAGAGCTTGTAACACTCCAAAGAGAAAGCCAAAATTTAAATCGCATCATATGACCCCTTTAAATGTTTTCCTGCCGTGCTGGATGTTGGGCTCATGATCAATAAGTTGTTTGCATTTGCCCAAACTGATTTTGTAAAATAAAAAAAGCGGACGGTGAAGAGTGGAGTTAGCACGAATCCCGCTCGCTGTGAAGTGGGAGCAGCTGGCAGAGAATTCCGCTTGGTCTTAAAGCCTTCCACAAACGCCTGTGTTCACAAATAAAACAACGATTTGTGGAAAAATAACGATTAGTTATCAGTCTATTTTAGTTATCAATTGAGAATTTGTTACTGATATGATCTGGTAAAAATAATAATATGGCCTGCGAGAAAATAAATAAAAAAGTGTGGGTCTGCTATGAGTGCAGGCAGGAACAGCATAGTTCAACCCAGTGGCATGACAACACCGGCCCTCGCGGCCAAAAAACAGACCGGCCCACCGGGAATCGTCCCAGTGCTCCCGATTAGCCAATCCGGGCCTGCTAGGGATGCACCGAAATTAAAATTCTTAGCCGAAGCCAAACAAAATGAAACACTGGGCCGAATACCGAACACGGTTTTTCGCATTTTTCCCCCCCATGTAGGCCTATTTTGCCCTTTTTTCACCATTGCATAAATTAAATAGCCAAAATGTGCTTTTTACTGTTTTATCATGCATTTCAAATAAAAAATCAATTACAAAACAACAATTTAAAAATATTTACTTAACACTGAACTTTTTTTTTAAAACATTCTAGCAGACATTATACCAACAAAGCACAATTTAACTTAAAATTAATAAGTTAGTAAAAAGAAAAAATGTTGGGCCCTTTTTGAGACTTGAATCAGGCATGTATTTTTTACTGTACAAATAAAGGCAACCTTGTTGAGCAGAAGATAATTCTTTTAAAACATTAGAATATATTACAGATCCCAATTTGAACATTTTGTGAATGTTATAATACTGTACATGTATTAATAGAGCTGTTGTAGGGTAATTATTATTATCATTATTAGTTTATTTTTCAATTTTATTTTACAGTAAAACAGTAAAATTAAAATACTAACATTTATGAATGTTGGAGTTGTTGCTTTTTCTCTGCTTTTATTTTGGCAGAAACCAGCAGGAAGATCTCAGTGCTTCTTTTTGTTGACAACAGCATGCAGATTTATAAATGATTCTCATTACGAATTTGGGAAGATGTTTGTCGCACGTATCACATTGTCACGTGCCTTTAAATAAAATTCACAAAATGTTACTGAGTAACTGACGAGTAACACCAGTGCGTTGTGATTGCAGGGTGTCCATGGGTCCTTAAAAAGTCTTAATGTCTTAAATAACATTTTCCTAATATAAGGCCTTAAAAAGTCCTAATGTCTTAAATTCGGATTTAAAAAAAACTTGAAATCGCATCATATGACCCCTTTAAAAGAGTAAAGCACCTTTTGAACGTAATTTGACACTTCAAATGAAGATTTATCGATTACATTGTTACGCCAGTAGGTGGCGAAAAGGGGCTGTTCAAATGTTTTTGTCTTTGAATCATACAAGAGATTTGTTCAAGAACGCTGATTCATCCAGTAATGAAACAAGTACATCTTGAGTGAGTCATTTAATTATTCATTCATAAATTATATGTGATTTAGTTTAGTTTAGATTTTTTTTTTTTTATCCAGAGTCATGCAGTTCTATTTTGCACTCAAACAGCTCTTAAAGAGTCCAGTTTTTATGTAGCCTGTTGATTTTTGTTCATGGTATTCAGCTGCAATAAATGGTTTGCAAAAAAGAGACACAGGATAAATGTTTGATGTCATTATTTAATCACATTGGAATCGAAACTGGGAATTGAAAAGAATCTGAATTGATGAGCAGCGGGAGCACTGGACACAAAAATCGCGGGAATGGGCAATAATGGTCAGAAATTCAGCGGAAGCAGGTTTATGAAAACAGTCCCTCGCAGGGCTCTAATACAAAAACGCACACAATGAATGGCGATTGTTGAAAGCAAAAGCCGAATCCCGGCCGGATGCATTTTTTTAGGTCAGAAAAGAGGACGTATGGAGATTAAGAGGACGTATGTATTACAAAATGCTGTTTATAATAGATTGACATTTAAATCTTTGATGACATGCTTCAAATGAACTAGAACACTGAAGTACATGCCAGCGTACACCTAACACAGAAGTGTTTCAGTTTATCTTCTCATTCGATTGCAGAGCCCATCCAGTCCCGCTGCGCAGTGCTGCGTTACAGCAAACTCCGAGACGACCAGATCATGATGCGTCTGACGGAGGTGGTTGAGAAGGAGAACTTGCATGTCACCAATGACGGCCTAGAGGCCATCATCTTCACCGCTCAAGGGGACATGAGACAGGTTAGGTCAATTATTTTTTCCTATTATGAACAATAATAATAATAAAAAATAAAAGTAACATTTTAGGTATACATAATAATATCAATTATATGTTAATTTATTCATTTAATTTTAATAATATTATAGGTAGGAAAATAAATGAACATTTTAGGTTGTTGTTATTATTATTGTTAAATTTGCAATGTACAGTATTAATAATAGCAACCTAATTATTTTAATTTTTGTTTATTTTTTATTTATTTTTTTTAATCATTTTTTTTACCTGCAGTATTCGTTTATTGTTGTAACACATTTCACTTTTTACATTTTTTTTTAAAAATAATTTTTAAGGTCTGAATTTAAAAAAAATTTTTTAGGTAAACAACAATATTATTATTATTAATAAACCTTTTAATAATTTATTATGATTTACCTGCAATGTCAATACTTTATTATTATTTATTTTTTAAACTTTTTTTTCATCTAGGCTCTGAACAACTTGCAGTCAACAAATTCTGGATTTGGTTACATCAACAGTGAAAATGTGTTCAAGGTATTTTTAGATACATTTTATTTTTGTCTTTTTCTAATGCATGGAAATCATTTCAGTATAAAAATGTATTGGTGATAAAGTACCAACAGTGTTGCTTCTGCAGGTGTGTGATGAGCCACATCCTCTGCTGGTTAAAAGCATGCTGGAACACTGTGTCAACGCCAACATTGATGAAGCCTACAAGGTACCACTAAACATTTGCCCTAGAAAATATTCAGGATCAGTTCAAAAAATGACAGATGCTGGGTAAGATCGAAATGGTGTGTCTTTCTACAGGTCATTGAGCAGCTTTGGTCACTCGGATACTCACCAGAGGACATCATAGGAAACATCTTTAGAGTGTGTAAAACCTTTCAGATGGCAGAATATTTGAAGCTGGAATATATTAAGGTGCGTATTGCCCTTGTAGTGTCTCCCTAAGCAGCATTTACATTAGCTTTAATCTTTAAAAGTTTCATTTAGTAATGTATTTGTATATATTGCAATGACATCTAACACAATAGAGGCAATGTTTTCACCAGTCGATGTGAAACTATCAGTGATGTTACAGAGATAAAGTTATTGTTATCTGGTCTCAACACGAGGTGACCTGCTCTACGTAAAATAGATTAGCTATTATTTGGCTACTGTTGTGGCATAAGTGTTTTAATGTGGGGAGAAATTACTTCAATAAAAACAGGTATTGTACCATGTTTATTTTAACTACACTGTAACTATACTTTTGATTCCCCAGGAAATTGGCTACACGCATATGAAAGTTGCAGAAGGGGTGAACTCTCTGTTACAGATGGCTGGACTGTTGGGCCGCCTTTGCAGCAAGACTGCTGCACCTGATGCAAGCTGAAGAGATGTTATCAAATGATCACACTTCAGCCTCAGTGTTTTTAATCTCCAGACCCTGTACTAATACTAATAATTGTAAAAAAAAAAAAAAAGACAAATTGCAGTAATAAAAATCCTTTTGTTGTTTGTGAGTGATGGCCTGTTTTTGATGTCAAAGTACTTTTACAAATGCAGCACAGTAGAACTAACTCCATTTACTTAATGAGAATTTGAAGCAGTTCAAACAGCCCAATTTAACACGCACAATTAAGTCCATTCCAACAATGAATTTCCATGCTGTACCATACTGTATAGCAGAACAAGTGACAGTTCTACAGGGTTCAGTTTCAACCTAGTGATGCCAATGACAATTTTAGCACAAGGGAGGAAAGCATTATCAAGAGCAGATACCAAATTACACCTTCCGCCTTATTTGTATATAACGTGCCCCCACTTAAACCTGCCTCATGCCCTGATAGGTTTTTGTTTCACTTGAGATGAAAAGGGCAGGATACTCATCTGACTCATTTGTCACACCTCAAATCTTCATTGCACAGCTCTTGATGTCTAGCCCTCATGTTTAGTGCCTTTGTTGCGTAAAATATTTTAGAGATCTTGTAGTAGTTTATAGCACTTATTCATTGACGGTTAATTATATCATTGTTGATCAGAAGACTATGCACATTCACACTCAATCTTAATTGACTACTTCAAAAGGTCGAGCAGTATGCATTTTAACATTTTAATTTAATAACAGTAAATGCCACCAAGAACAAAATGAAAATCTAAAAGAAAAAACAAACATATCTTAGAACAGAATCTCCTCATTCTGATACAAAAAAAAAGGTTCCTATTCACTGTATGATTTCATTCACGTAGTCTGGTTCATCTGAATAAAGGGGAAAGAAAAAAGTAATTGGTGTTTCATGAATTAATCGTAAAATGTTTTATCAATGTTATTGGTTTAATAATGACCATATTACCATCCTCAGATCTATTGTCCCAGTTTTCATAATTACAGCTATCTGCAAAAACATTGTCAAACGATAAGCAAAGAAATATTTTTCTAAAAACCATATCGAGTAAAAAAGTTCAAATCTCAATTTGTTCTTAATCGATTAAATGTATATGTATTTTAAATAGAAAAAAGATTAAAAAGAAAGAACAAATGTATTATATATATATATATATATAACATGTTATCTTACTGTTGAGTCCTGGGTGACATTGTAACTGAACATCGGTAGTGTTCATCGTTATTGATGAAAGTTATAAAGAGGTACCAAATATCATTTTATAAACTAATAACAGATTTGATAATCACTGAAAACACCAACCTGAGTCATGTTGCACTTCTGGTGTTGGAAAAACATTCTCGTATGTTCCTGTGTCCAAATTTGGATCCGTATCTGGGGAATATAAATGAAGCATTTCATTAAAACAACTGCTTCAAGCATTTTGTTCACTTGTGCAGTGAATCACACATCCGTGAACACTTTTTCAGTTTTGTGATTAGTGGCCTCGTTTTTTTATCATCTATGGTTTTCTGACATGTTTACAGGTTCCTTGGTGCTCAGTTTAAAATGTGTCACTTGACCTCATTTTTCCTGTGAACAACTGAAGAGAGTGAACCGTGTAAAATGGTTGCATTAGACAATGACAATTACCAGCACACATTTACCTGTGTCGTCCTCGTTTGCATAAAGCGAATTTGGAATTGGGTCCCTATGAAAAAAAAAGCATGTATGTGTATCAAATACACAATGTACAAATCATTTTGAGCAAGCTTAGCTTTTGTAAAATCTTAGAATTTACAGAAAGGCTTTACAAAAAAAGTCTTTGATGAGTATCTTGTAGACTTGTTTCCCTCACAAAACCATATGAAAAACAACACTCACACGTATGTTGGTTCCAAGATGCCATTTTCTACTGCAGAAACAAAAACATGCATTACTAGGTTAGAAGTTTGCATTTAAAAATGGCTTTCATCAAAAGTAATGTCTTACGATCGCAACAGCGATGAATCTTACCATCTGTAAGGTTTTGATAACTCCATTGGGTGTCACCTGTTTAGAAAGTCAAAATAACAAAAATAAATGAATAAACAAATAAAATCACTCCAAATTTTGGATACATTTTAGAAAAATAGATCCTAAATTGGTACCACAGAGATAACAGTTTAAACATCCCAAATTTCAAAAGAAAAATTCTTACTATTCACAGGCCTGTTCGTCGGTGATCGCCTGTGAAAATACAATTGATCACGCCTGTAACATTTCCTTCATTTTGATCTTTCTATCATGACGGTTCAGCAAATATGGCAGTTAACATTGTTCAGTTAAACATTACAGACTCTGAATGCTTTCAGTTATGTAGAGAAACATTTCCCTGCACCCAAAATATTAGATAAAGTAGAAAGTGGACATGACTATAACACTAAATACAAAAACAAGTAGCTGCACTGACTACTGCTAAAAAGATCTCACCTTGAGGTTGAAGGCATCTCTCTTTGGTTTGGGCTTAGCACTAAAAAAAATAGACAAGATATGAAGAAAATCTCATTCTTGGCTAATGAGCGCATTTTGAATCTCAGCTTTCCTCTGACAGAAAATGTGTGTAAAAGTAAGTGCTTTGTAATATTCTAAAGATAAAACACTGACGCTAAATATAAGTCTATAATGAGATGCGTTTTTCTTCAGAATGTGTTAAAAGTGGACATCGCTTACCTGCTGTACGTTTTCTGCTTTCAGCATATTCACTGTCCTGATTGCTGAAAACAAAAAATTATGTAATTATTATATATATATATATACATACACAATTATTAATTAACATTAATAAATATATAAAACATTTTTCTTACAAATCATCTTGGTCATAGAGGTCATTGTCCTCTTGTTGCATAGCTCAAAATAAAATACAGCAACATTAGACGACAAAGACAAATATATGTATCGTGCACAATTAAGAGCTGAGAAAAACAAACTGCTTTTTTTTTTGGAGCTGAAAGTATTGTAATGTCAGACTACTTACTAGGTTTCTTTCCGCAGCACAGACAGAGAGCATAAATACAACCAAGGCAGGCCAGAGAAACAATGGCAAGGAGACCTCCTTGCTGGCTTTGGACTTCAATCATGCTTTAAATAAAAAGATTTTCTTTAGAAGATATACTTCTCTTAAATCTAATTTGACACTTTCAGAGGTTTACAGATTTTTTTATATAGGCTATATATATATATATATATAAAAAGAAATCAGCATATGAGAACACATTTCAATGTTATCTATTCACAACCACAAATACAGCTCTCACCATTCTGACACAATGGCACAAAGTATTAGTGCACAGGATAAGAGCATTTTTAGTGTGTAAGATGATTCAACGTGATAGTGTTCGATGAAGCACTATGCCACATGTTTGAAAAGCCTGTCTTTTTCATCAGCAACTAACTGAACCGCAGGATGCAAGTAATGTAACTATCGAAAGTTTCTTTCTTTAAGTTTTTATTTCTTTTGTTTGTTTGTTTTATTTATAACAGGTCCTTTAATGAGAAGAAATGCAAGTGTCTGATAACATCAAAAACCAGCTTCCCCCGTGTTACATATTAAAAATCAGTTTTCTTCTAAGCATTTCAAACATGTCACACAGTTTTCTATCAATCATAGAGTTGAGTTATGAAGAGTATTAGTAAGTAATCGGTTACCTTCAGTGAGATTAGGCCTCTCACTCCATCTCTGCTCTGATGGATATTGCTGAAGTCAAATGAAGGACTAATGAGAGCAGTATGAACCTGTGTGTTTCCTGTTTTAAACTGAATCTAACCACATCCGTGCAGCATCGTGCCGGACACCAAGAAGAGACCCCCACAAACCCACAGCAACACACAAGACACAGAGGTGAAAACTCCTGCTTCAAAGTCTGCTTGCTACATGTGTGTTCAAAATGTCAAACCTTTGAAATGCAGCCTTTCATTCGCATTTGGTGACAAACTGTTGCAATCAGTATCATGTAGAACCTGGTTTTTGTGTCTTCAAATGGAGCTCTTACACTAAACTTCCTCTTTTAGTTTCCGACTCAGAAAATCTGATAAACTCCTAGAGACTGGGTTTATAATGAGATCACATACGTTGGAGGCTCTATGGAAGCTGATGAAGGCTAGTTAATGGTTGCAAGACGTAGTTTTTGAAATGAGAGGATGATGTTTCATTATTTAGGGTTTATGACATTTGGCATCTGAGTCTGTAGGTGGTGTGTGGGTATGTTTTTCCGCTTTTTAAGCGTTTTGTAAGATTGTTTTCTTACAGCAACAATGGTGTAACAGTTGACAAAGACCTTCATTTTGATATATACTTAAAAATGTTATGCTAAGAGGGTTAAAACATTGTTATGATGTAATTCAATTAATTAAAAGTCCATGCATTGTGTTCTTCAAACTAAATATAAAATAGTGCACATGTGAGATAGTTTTTAAGGCACAGCTAACATGTGTGCGTTGTGTTCAAATCTGGAGGTGACTGAAATTTCACTGTAGCACTTAAACTTTGGAACAGATCGTTATCTTTTTTTTTCTTTAGCCTACAACTTGTGATGTTTTATGCCCTGTTTTACATCCTTTATGTCTTATGTTGGGTTTTATTGATTTTTATCATTTTTGCTTGTACATTGTACAGCACATGGACAGCTGTTGCTGTTTTTATAAATCAAATTGAGATTGAGATATGTTTGAATAGAGTATATTTATTTAACAATTTGTAGAAAAACATTATTTAGAGTATTTATATTTATAAATATTTTAATTACATTTCGCAATAAATTTCCATTTATTAACATGATTTAACTACATTAGTTAACAGAACTGACAATATAAAAAGGTTTCTAAAGCATTTATTAATCTTAGGTAATGTTAATTTCAAAATGTACTAATCTATTATTAAAATTAAAAGTTGTATCTGCTTATATTATTTAATGGACCTGAGCTAACCTGAACTAACAATGAACAGTCAACATTTTAATGAACTAATGTTAATGTTAACAAAAATTAATAAATACTGTAACAAATGTATTGCTCATGGTTACTTCATGTTAGCTGATGCATTAATTAACATTAACTAATGGAACTTTAC